GAGGACGCGCTGGTGCTGGGCGCCGCCAACGACACGGTGCTCTACGATGCGCTCTTGGCGCCGCGCGGCGCGCGCGAGCCGCTGGAGGCGCGCTTCCCCTTCTGCGTGGTGGAGCGGACCTCGCAGATCTACCTGCACCACATCCTGCGCCAGCTGCTGCTGCGGAACCTGGGCGAGCAGGCGCTGCTCCTGGCGCAGTCGTGCGCCGCGCTGCCCTACTTCCCGCACGTGCTGGAGCTCATGCTGCACGAGGTGCTGGAGGAGGAGGCCACGTCGCGCGAGCCCATCCCGGACCCGCTGCTGCCCACGGTGGCGAAGTTCGTCACCGAGTTCCCGCTCTTCCTGCAGACGGTGGTGCACTGCGCCCGCAAGACGGAGTACGCGCTGTGGAGCTACCTCTTCGCCGCCGTGGGCAACCCCAAGGACCTGTTCGAGGAGTGTCTGATGGCGCAGGACCTGGACACGGCTGCCTCTTACCTTATCATCTTGCAGGTAGCACGTCCCTTCCTCCGGGAGGCCAGAGCTCGTGTGCCGAGCCGAGGAAAGCAGAGCGGCCTGTGTTGGCCCCATGACGGCGCAGAGGGAGCCGGGAGTCGGGTGTTCTGTTTAGTTTTCTCTTTCATGCTGAAGAGCTCACACTCGTCGAAGGGCCACAGGCTCCTGTGAGTGTCATAAAGTACCCTTGCCCGGGTATTAGGGACAGACTCCTGCTGTGGTCCCGTTTGTCCAAAATTGGGCCTAAGACGGGCGTGTGAGGTCAGAGTATTACTTTGAATAATAGTGAAGGAATGTGTTCTGTGTATTGTAATGCTTACAGTGTGAACGTATTACGTAAGCAATATTATGTAAGGTCATTGAAGTATTGCACTAAAAACACAGCAAAGAAAGTACTGTTTTGGAGAGCAGTGACTTTTTGCTCCCCACAACAAGAGATTTGTTGCTATTTTTACTCATTTTTATAGCGCAAACCTAGATTTTTATTCTTGCTTCTCTGGTGATCTTCAACAGTGTGACTCAGTTTCCTCATCTGTAGAGTAGGGATGATTTGCCTGTTTCGCAGAGTCAGGAGAAACACACAAAATAATGCACATGAAGAGTGTGCACTGTTTCTGGCATACAGCGGGAACTCAGTAAATCATAGTTTAGGCACACCAGGAGAATACTTGCCTCGGTTTTCCTTGCATGGTACTTTTTAATGCTGCTGTTAATCTCACCGTTGAACTAGTCTCTATTGGTGTCGTGGCTGCATTCCTTGGGGGGTGGGGAGCTATGGAGACAAAGAATTGCTCGTGTCTTTCCCTGCTGCGTAGCATCAGAGGAATGACGTCTTCACTGTTGTTGTAGAACATGGAGGTCCCAGCAGTCAGCAGGCAGCATGCCACCCTTCTGTTCAGCACGGCGCTGGAGCAGGGCAAGTGGGACCTCTGCCGACACATGATCCGGTTCCTCAAAGCCATTGGCTCTGGGGAAGCTGAGACGCCGCCACCCACACCCACAGCTCAGGTCAGTTGCAAGACGCCACAGCTTCTCTCGACCACACACCTCCGTGGCGTCTTTCTGTAACTTGACTGCATGCTGTGTGCAACCGTAGGAACCCAGTTCAAGTGGCGGATTTGAGTTCTTCAGGAATAGAAGCATCAGTTTATCCCAGTCGGCGGAGAATGTGCCTCCTAATAAATTCAGCCTACAGAAAACACTGAGCATGCCATCTGGCCCTTCCGGAAAAAGGTAAAAGAATAAAGAACCGTCACTGCTTTTTTGGGCATCTGTGACATGCATTTCAGGGCATTTGATGTTATAGAAACAACCAGATAATCCAGTTGCATTTTCTTTTTCCATTCCTGAAAGGCACAGGTATCACACAGATTTCCCTTTTTTCTTCCTCCTAAGTTCACTTCTATACTCTTTATCTAGTTTCTGCCCCTTTTCTAGAATTGGTCTGGATGTACATGTTCTGAATGCAACTAACTTGTTTTGTTAGTATTGTTTTTAATTGACCGTGATTGTATATGTTTATAGGGTACAGTATAATGACTTGATATCATTTACAATAAGCAACTAACTTTAAATTACCTCTGATGATGGACCAGAGTGAAATGGAAGGTAGATAAATCTATAGATAACCCAGAAGGCTTCTTTTTTTTTTTTTTTTTGAGTCAGAGTCTCACTCTGTCGCCCAGACTGGAGTGCAGTGGCATGCTCACGGCCACCGCAGCCTCAACCTGCTGGGCTCCGGCGATCTTTCCGCCTCAGCCTTCCAAGTAGCTGGAACTACAGGCATGCGCTACCACGCCCGACTAATTTTTGATTTATTGTAGAGATGAGGTCTGGCCAAGTTGCCCAGACGGGTCTTGAACCCGTGGGCTCAGGCAATCCACTCACCTCAGCCTCCCAAAGGTGCGGGATTATAGGCTGAGCCACCTAGCCCAGCTCAAAAGGCTTCTTAAAATCAGTAGAATCACCCTTTTCGTATTTGACTCTCCTGTGACCTTGTGATTAGAGGAGCCATTACACAGTGAGAAAACCAAAGGAATTGTATGCAATTCACCTACATCACCCATAGGTGGGTCTTGTCTCCTGAGCGGTGACTGAGTTCACACTAAACATTATAAACCATTAGAATTTCCCCTGGTTTGCGAGTTCTGTGTATTCCTTCCTGTGTTGTAACATGGTCTTGTCTCTTGCTTTTTTTCTTCCCAAACCGTTTTTTACTGTTTACGTTCGTACTGCAGTGCCTGGCTTACAGTGAGAGTTTACTGAGCACCTTTTATCATGTTGGTTTACTGCTTTCTCTTATCAGTGGTCATTACCAACACGCCCTCCTACCCCTCCCCCCCTCCCCCCCTCTCGCTCACTCACTCAATATCATGGGCTATCCACAAGTAAAATGCCATCATGGAGGGCTGTCAGTAACTGCCAGGCAGCAGACAGCCATCTTCTCAGCCATGCCCTGAATTTAAATATCGGCTGATCACTTACTAGGCGTTCATTATGTGCCAGGCCCTGTGCTAAGCATTCACGTGTGTAGGTCCTTTAATCCTTACAGCTCTGTGAGGATTTCATCCATGTATGGGTGAAGAAGCAGAGGCTCAGAAAAATAAACTAGTTATATGCACACAACCAATGAGTGGCAGAGCCAAGGTCTGAATCCAGGCGTTCCAGACTAGGCTTCTTACTCCACCAGCGTAATGCCTCTCGCTGAAAGCACATTATCCAGTAACCACATCAGCTCATATTGGCAAGGGCTGATAGACTGTATTTAGTCAGTTTTTAAAACTCGTCTTCATGTGTTTGCATAATTCACATTGATTTAATTTCACTTTGCTTCTCTAGCCTTAGTTTCCTTGTGGTCTCTTTCCTCCTTTTCATTAGACTTTCAAACACAACATTTATTTGCTCCTTTCCTTCAGAGACTCACACTCTCTTCCTGGTCTGATGTCTTTTGTCCCCGTTTTTTCTTAGTCCGTGATTTATAAATGTGTCTTACGAACCGTCTGTTTTCCATGTGTTTAACAGCTCCTGGTGTCACAAGGAAGAAAAGCCCTGAAACTTTTTCTTCCTCTTCCATCAGAATTAGACCTTAGATTTCTTATTCCTTTGTCAGCTTTATCAATGCTACTGTGCAAAAGTGTGTGAAATCTTCCAGTAAAGATTATTTTGTGGCTTTCCTGTGTTTTTACTTACAGATGGAGCAAAGACGGTGACTGTGCTGAGAACATGTATATTGACATGATGCTCTGGAGACACGCACGGCGCCTCTTAGAAGACGTGCGGTTGAAGGACCTTGGCTGCTTTGCAGCCCAGCTGGGTTTTGAACTGATCAGTTGGCTGTGCAAGGAGCGGACCCGAGCCGCACGAGTAGACAACTTTGTAATAGCCCTGAAGAGACTCCACAAAGATTTCCTCTGGCCGCTTCCCGTCATCCCAGCCTATTCTGTCAGTTCTCCTTTCAAAAATGGAAAATACCGAGCAGGTAATGTAGACCTCATGTCACTGGTACAAGGAGGATTGTATTTTACTCTGAGCATATAAATGTTTTACTGTTAGCCGATATTCAAGGAAGTCTTTTCATTTCAAGCTTAGGAGTGAATAAAAGCCAACTGTTTTGTATCAGTTGGAACATCTGCATTTGGCCGAGGCTGTCAAGTAAAGTAGAACCAAGGAGCGGGGGGAGGGGGAGGAATGAACAGCCACCTGTCAGGAACAACAGCGGTGAGAGCGGTAGGGAAAACTGAAAGCCCAGACCTCTTCGCCACTGTGCAGTGCAGCCACGTAACCAAGAGCTCTTTGTGCCCCGAAGCTGTTGAAATAAAAAGTAAAGTAAAACCTGTGCTTCGAAGTCTCTTGACCTTTCCGTGCAATTCATAAATCTGGTCGTCCTTATCTTGGATTATAAGCAAGTTGAGAACTAGCTGAATGTAAAAGCCACAGTGCTTACCTTGATTTAGGAAGGAGTTTTTTAACCAGTCAGACATGGACCTCAAAATAAGCTGAGTTGTGACTGACTTAGCAGGATTCATTCCAGGGAAATAGTAAAAATGCATCTTTGACAGCTTGGGCCATCTTCTAAACTAGGAAAAACAAAGTAAAACTGTATTTTTTGGTGAAAGGAAAATGTTTAAATAGTTTCTTAGTTCGAGTTATTTTATGAAGACTAATTATATATGAAAGTGCAAGCAAAACTTTTCATCTTGACATTTGAAAACTTCATGTCATCTGAAGAGTCAAAGCGGGTCATTTAGATGGTCAACAGAATAAAGTTTTGCCTAGTTTGAGTAAGAGATAAAGTGATATGACTGTTGGGTGCCATTATGTGGTCGATCTGCTGTGTTACAATTCCATCTTTAGATTTTGAGTGGATGGCAGTGTGGGACAGTAGCTGACTTTGAACTGGGCGTGTTGGAGGGCAGGGGGGGAAGCCAGAAGAGCTGAGCGACAATGGCAGTGTGTGCATTGTGAATTTCTCCCCCCCACCCCGCCATTTTGTTTCCTGTTGGACCTACCCTGCATGCAGTAGGAGAGCAGCTGTTGAGGTCTCGGTCAGCTGACCCTTTTTTAAGCCTTGAGATGGATGCAGGCATGTCCAACGTCCAGCGAAGTCAGAGCTGGCTCAGCAGCGTCGGCCCCACCCATCAGGAGATAGACACAGCCTCATCCCACGGACCCCAAATGCAAGACGCCTTCCTGTCACCTTTGTCGAATAAAGGTGAGTGTCGCTTCAAGTCCTGGCTCTTCTTCCCTTCTGAAGAGAGCACAGGTGCTGCAACTCTTCAGAGATGGTGCTCACTCGCCCAGCTGGACGAAGGTGCTGCTGGAGAGGTGAACAGTTACTGGACCGGGCAAGGTTGACCTTGGCTGGGCCGGGCCATGTTTATTCTAGATGGACAGAATAGAGGAACTCCCACTAGAGACAATCACCGCGGTTAATCTTTAGGAAAGGAAACCCTGACTGGGAGTCCCAGGCAAGCAAAAATGTTGTCCCTGTATAAAGAACCCATTCTTATCATAACTGGACCTGGCTTGGAAGAGATTTTGCATCGTTGTCATTGTTAGATTTTTATTTCATCAATAAATGTGTGGCAAAAAAAATTTTTTCTTGCTATATAGCAAGCTCCTCCGTAATATTCTTGACTTTGCCTATTGGCCTTCAAAGCCTAGAACATTTACTAAATGGCCCTCTTACCCGGACCACTGGGTAAATTACAAACCAAAGAGTTTTGAAGCATCTTATGTTGGCATAGAGTTGTAGCGTGCTGGAGCTTAATAGCCCTCGGTCTCACTCTTTGCTGCTTTCTTCGTGGTATGGCATTTGTCTGGTGTCTGTCACACTGCCATCACTGTTACCTGTGCTTCCACTGTCTCAGGAGGCTTATAGCTGCAGTTACTTTTTAAAAAATTGTTGCAAAGAGGGGAATCCCCCTAAAAGTCCATCAACCAGTCAGTGAATAAGGAGAGTGTGGTGTGTATATATGCTGTGGAACACTGTTCAGCCATCCAAAGGAACGAAGTCACATCTTTCGCAGCAACTTGGATGGAGTTGGAGAACATCACCCGAGTGAACTAACTCAGAAACAGAAAACCCAGCACCACATGTTCTCATTGATAAGTGGGAGCTACCTAAAGATCTGCAAAGGCCTGGAGGACAATGTCATGGACCCTGGAGATTCAGAAGGGGGCGGGCGGGGGGCACAAAAGATCCCCTGTCGGGCTCAGTGTGCACAAGTGGGTGTGGGGCACAGTGCCCATACTTCTTCGCCACTGTACAATGCAGCCATGTGACAGAACCATGTGTACCCCTAAAGCCATTGAGATTTTTTTTAATGGTAAAATACACATAAAATCTGCCAGCTTAGCCACTTTTTTTTTTTTTTTGAGTTGGAGTCTCACTCTGTCACCCAGACTGGAGTGCAGTGGCCACTCCGGCCACCGCAGCCTCGACCTGCTGGGCTCCGGCGATCCTTCCGCCTCAGCCTTCCGAGTAGCTGGAACTACAGGTGCACGCTACCACGCCAGGCCAGTTTTTGATTTATTGTAGAGATGAGGTCTCGCCAAGTTGCCCAGGTGGGTCTCGAAGCTTAGCCACTTTTAAGCAAACAGTTCAGCAGTGTCAATTATGTCTACGTTACTGTGCTGTCAACCTGCAGAGCACTTTCCGTCCTGTAGAGTAAAATTCTGGGTATGTTATTTAATAACCACTCCTCATTGCAACCACTGGCAACCACCATTTGCTTTTTGCCTCTACGAACCTGACTACTCCAGCAACTTCGTATAAGAGGACCACACAGTGTTTGTCTTTTTGCAACCAGCTTATCTGATTTCACTTGTCGTCAAGTTCATCCGTGTGGCAGCGCCTGCCAGTTTCCTTCCTTTTTAAGGCTGACTGGCATTCTGTTTGTGCCCAGTTTCGTTGTATCCATTTGTCTGTAGAGGAACACTTGGGCTGTTTCCACCTGTTGACTGTTGTGAATATTGCTGCTGTGAAGGTGGGTATACAGATACTTCCTTGAGACTGTTTCCAGTGCTTTGGGATTTATAAGAAGTGGGGCTGCTGCTTATAGTATTTCTGCTTGTGATTATGTTCAGAAGTGCCGTGCTGTTGTCCATGGCCACCGCCCCATTTGGCCTTCCCACCCGTAGAAACCAGCGTTCTGATTGCTCCACGTCCTCACCAGCACTCACTTTGGTTCTTGGTAGCATTCAGCCTAAGAGGTGTGAGTTGGTGCGTCACACCTTTTGGAAAACGTTTTTTTAAAGAAGTAATTCCAAGCATATTCAGAAACAGGTGTAGGACGGCGCCCCACCCCAGCCGCACCGCCGGCACCAGGGCACCGGGTCTCCTCTTGCCGATGCGTGGCCAGACTCGCCGGCTGTGCTTCCCTCCTCCTGTCACTCGAAGCAGATCCGAGACAGGACGCGTTTTCATCTGCAAATATCCCTGTATTTCTCCTGCAAGGACTTCTTTTTTAAAGCAGCCATACCATTATCTCACATGTTCTCAATCCGTAAGTGGGCCTTGAACAACTGTCCTAATATGATAAGAAAAAGGCAGGCAGTAGTGGGAGTCTGCGGGGCGGGGGTGGGGCCCACACTCATCGCCAGGGGCTCTGCGTCATGAACTGTGCGTGCTCACCCTGCATTCGCCCACGTCTGCAAAGTCAGATGTTTTAAAGAAGCATGCCATCATCATCCCTACAAGAATTTGATAATTCCTTAATACTGTCAGATATCCAGGGAGAATTCAGATTTCCAGTGGTTTCATAAGCATCATAAATTCTATTACGCTTTGAATCAAGATCCGAATAACGGTCACACATTGTTCTTGCTTTTAATTCTCTCATCAAGTGAATGCCCCCGTGCTCCCGTCTTTTTCTCACCTTTGCAGTTTATTCACTGAAGTAACTTGCTTTTGTGGTTTTTCCCACAATTCGGATTTTGCTTATTGCATCTTCACAGTAACAGTTCCCTATGTGGTTCTTGTACGCTGGTAGCTGATTCCAAAAACCTGATCTAATTCTAGATAGATTTCTTTTTGCAGAGGCAGGCAGGCAGGCAGCGTTTCCATCTGAGATGTCTGTACTTGGTCATCACGCTACGGGTTTTTTTTACCATGTCTACTGTCATTCACATTGCAATTTTAACGGTGGATTTAACGCTTTGGTTTACAATCCTGGGGACAATCAACATCTGAGAAACCGCTAACATTTAAAATGAAAAGAAAATGTGTTTTCTGCATGAAGCTGGTTTATAACTTGCGATTCTCCATCAGGAGATGAAGGCAGCATTGGTTCAGCCACAGACTTGACCGAAAGTAGCTCCGTGGCAGATGGAGACTGGACGGTGGTGGGTGAAAACTTCTCCACACTCAGCCTCACTCAGTCAGAGCTGGAGCACATCTCCATGGAGTTGGCGAGTAAAGGGCCACATAAATCCCAGGTCCAGCTTCGGTGAGTCTCTCAGCTGTCCGAAAGCGGAGAATGCCTGCTGAGGGCATGCCGGCAAACGGGGCCCAGGGCTGCTTTCCTGGTGGCCGTAGCTCTTCTGCGCATCTCTTGGGTTCTTCCCAGCCAGGTCATTTTGCTTCTGCTTGCACGTAGGTATTTGCTGCACGTTTTCATGGAGGCAGGCTGCCTGGATTGGTGCGTGGTCATAGGCCTGATTCTCAGAGAAGCCTCGGTCATCAACCAGATTCTGGTCGTCACGCAGTCTTCGGAGGTGGATGGAGAGCTGCTGCGCAACATCAAGACGGGGCTCCAGGCGGTGCAGCGCTGGGCCTCCACGGACTGGTGAGCGCGGCTTCCCGGCGGGCCCTGGGGTCCGCGGGCGAAGCCGGCCTGCACGGCCAGGCCCTCGGGGCTC